ATTATTATTATTATTATTAAAAATGATATTCTCTTGGATCCACTTTTCTCGGCTCTTCAGATAACTACAGCCTGTCTTTATCATGGAGGTCTGGTCCATCCATTATCAGAAAGCTGGCAAGGGTTGTGGCACCTCTGAGCTTAACAGGGCCACACTGGGACAATTAAGAGACTGCAGGTAACCCAGCCAGCATGTTATTGGCCAGTGGAAGAAAAATGAATTAGCCATGGAACATCGGACCCAAGGAGAACGTGCAAACTCCACTCAGAATGATCACGGATTAGAAATGGAGCGTAGGGCCCAAGAGCTTGTGGAGGCAGTGCCGTATACAAATGTCACAGTTCAATACTTTGCAGCACTAACAGTACATAATTGTTTTCCTCCTGACAGTGCATTATAACAGTTTTCAAATAATTGCTTCTGAACGTGCCTAAAGAAAAAGGGTAGAAAGAAAATGTGCAATATTGGATTCATCTTTAGATTTCCGTGTCACATTGTGGATTGTCATTACTTTGATACCAGTTCAGTGATAAGATGGTAAGCCTTGCAATGCCAGTTGTAAAATCAAGGTTCAAAACCATATTGTGCTATTAAAGATTAGTCCCACCAATAATTCTAATACATAGTCATAGTCATCTAATAGATATCTGCAATCATGCTGCCATGGTCTCTTTGTGTCACTACAAGGAAGATCAAGATTAGTGTATTCCCCATTAGCTGGTGAAGCAGTGACAAAAAACTTTTTTCAACACCTGCAATCAATGAAGCCCTATGGTGATTTAATATGGCAGTAACCAGGATTTGCAAATAATGATCCCTTCTTGGTACAGACATGAATAATGTGCTCTTGGACTCCAGGACATCTCCAGGACTTTTGGACATCAGGTTTCTTTGTGGCTGTTGGGGACAAAATGCTGCTTGCCGTTTCATGAACCACCTGTTCTTCCCAAGACCACAGCAGGCTGGCCAGCACCTGGTGCTGTACTGTACTGCCACCACCAAACCGAAATACTAAAAAACCTGTGCTGTCTGAAACAAACGACCTGTAGTTGATTAGACCTGCAAAGTCTGTCCTCCTCCTGGGATGTCATGCAACATTTCCTACATACATGTAGGAACAAGTAAAGAAAGGCTGATTCAGGTGTGGAGAACTCTGAAACACGCTTGTATTTTTCAGCAGACCATTAACCTCTACCCCAACCTTTGCAGCTCACACTCTGACACTGCTCCACACACTAATTTTCCCAATAGACTGAGAGTACTGTAGGTACCACATTAGCCATTTTTTCATGTTCCAGGACATCCTGGAGACAACCCAATTGCACAAAAAAAGTGTTTGCCGGAGCAATGAGAGAGAAGCACCTCGCTCCAGGGTACAACCACAGAGCCCCACTGAGGATGTGAAGCTGCCACTGTCCTGTGTGGAGTCCGGGGGTGGAGAATTCAAAACAGATTCCAACTTTTTCCCTTTCCTTTCCTTTTTCCCTTTCTTCTAGAACAGTCCTGGTCCTGGTGTCCCACACACCTGCTGGCTTTTATTCCATCTGCCCTTCATGAAAGAACCGAAGCCTTACTTGATCCAAGAAGCCGCTTCGATTTAATATTTGCATTTTGTTTCTAGTCACAAGTTTGGGATTTTGTTTCACTTACGAAATACAAGGGTTGAAGCTCCAGCATGCTTGAGAACTGGGAACAAGCAGTTCAGACAAATCTTATTATGAAGTCAGTGAAGGGTTTCATTGTGTCACTGAGGGCTGGGCTGGAACAGAAACCCACAGGTGTGTGGGTCACCCAGGACCAGGATTGGGAACCACAGCTCTAGAATATGCCAGTATATGGATGCTAGCCTAGTAAGCATGTTTTTTTTAGCTCTCACTCATTTTTAATCTTGTGTGAATTACGGGAACGAGATTTTGTGCTCCAGGAGGAGAGAGCCCCTGATTGCCGGCAGCCAGACTTCCTCACAGCCATCACCTGCTGTTAACTCCACATACATCACTCAGCAATTGCGGGAAAGCGCTTCAGATGTCTCTTAACCACCCGCGCCAATTTCCATGTGAGTACTATGAGTTTAATGCAATGCATGATGGCCCATAACGCTGAAATCAATAAAAAGCCCTGCTAACAGCTCTCTAACTTGCTGAAGGTGTATCCTGCATTCTCCTGGGAATTCTATGAGCCGTTGTTGCATGGAAGCAGGAACAATTACTAACTAGCCTTTTCTTCCCCCAGTTTCATTTTCTACGCATTTGTAAATTTATTTCAGACTAGTAAATGATATAACATATACTCACAGACCTGCATTTTGGCACTCTCAAGCAATTTATTTTTTTACTTAAAGACTAATGCTCTCTCCAATTAATTAACAGCAAGAGTAATAGGTATCGCCTGTGAAAATATGTATTTTGCTACAATATCTCTTGAGAAGTCACCGACTCTAGCAAATTGTAGCTAGCTATTTATGCTTAAGGATGCAAGGCGTGGAATAACATACTGTATAGTTCTTTAGAAAAGCTGAATAACTGCTTGAAAAGAGGGGAAGGTGGGAATTCTTCAGCCTATAATCGTACGAGGGGTAGCAACATTGCCACCTTCTAGTCTGAGTGCCTCTGAAGCCTAATATTTCATCCTGTATCGTGTTCTCGAGTCAGTATTTTGCATGTGCATTCAAATTGATCAAAACAAATTATTTACATGAGAACATAAGAGAGGTTACAAATGAGAGCAGACCATTCTAGTCTGTTAGTGCAGTATTTAATGGATCAGAGGAACTCACTTAGT